CCACTGTGAGGGACTGGAAGAGGACGCAGTACATACAGCTGTTCTCGACCCTCGACATCCAATCATAGCGCTAATCATGAAGGATTATGATGAGAGGCTACATCATCCAGGTACAGAGCGGTTGTTTGCAGAAATCAGAAGGACGTGCTGGATACTAAGAGGTCGTGAAGCTATCAGGCGACACCAGCGCCAGTGTAGAGAGTGTAGGAAGTGGAGAGGACGCCCAGAAGTCCCTCTCATGGCTGACCTGCCCCTCACCAGACAGAGATACTTCCGTCCAGCTTTCTACTCGACTGGCATGGACTGTTTCGGCCCCTTCCTCATTAAGATCGGCCGACGTAACGAGAAGAGGTGGGGCATAGTCTTTAAGTGCATGACCACGAGGGCAACCCATCTTGATCTTCTCAGCAGAATTGATTCTGACTCTTTCCTGATGGCTCTACGACGGTTCATTGCCAGACGAGGCAAACCGTACGAGTTATTGTGCGACCAAGGCACCAACTTTAAGGGAGGAGAACGTGAACTGAATGATGCCTTCCCCACCCTCCAAGATGAGCTACAGAGCCACCTTGCCAATCAGCAGATCAAGTTCACCTACAACCCGCCAAGCACCCCTCACTTCGGCGGTTGCTGGGAGAGGGAGATCCGCTCTATCAAGGCAGCGCTCAGAGTGACTATCGGAGCCCAGACTGTTACTGCGGAAGTGTTGAGGACAGTCCTGATTGAGGTGGAAGGTATCCTCAATTCAAAGCCTCTTGGGTATACCTCCTCTGACGTTGCTGACCTCGACCCGATCACCCCGTACTGCTTCCTGATTGGCCGTCGAGACACATCATTACCTCAAGTCCTCTACCAGGAGTCAGAGATGCTGAGTCGGCGACGCTGGCGCCATAGTCAACTGCTTGCGGAGCACTTCTGGAGACATTTTTTGAATTACTACTTACCAGATCTCCAAGCCCGTCAGAAGTGGAAGACTGAAAAGAAGGCATTGGAAATCGGAGATGTAGTCTTGATTGTTGATCCCCAACTTCCTCGCGCCCTCTGGCCTGTAGGCAGAGTCACTCAGGTGTTCCCCGGTGTAGATGGTCGAGTCCGGACAGCCAGTGTAGATGTCAACGGTAAGACCTACACACGAGTTGTGGCCCGTCTCATCCAGCTTCCAGCCCTGCCCGAGGATGACTAAAACAAGATATCGACCTTTGTTAGATAAGCGAATTCGGTTCCTGAATTCGGGGGCCGCTGTACAAAAAGCTCGGCTGTCTCTAAGTCCCGGATGATTCTGACCAATCAGAATGTTCAGCGCAGCTGCAATGTCACCGCGGGAGGAGGAGCTGAATCACAGGCTAGAGAGAGAGGCAGCGCACGTGAGAAGATGGAGAGTTTGGCAGCTGTATTCTAGTTCATTCAGAGTTACTTTAAAGACATTGACTTCGAGTTTATACTGGGTTACAGTGTGCGTACGTGTGAAGTAAGTGATCAGCTGTTATTCTTGTACCGATTAAGGAGTAGCCAATTAACATAGCACTGCCTGTATTACCTGCTCGATTCAGTGCATTCGCGAGTATTTCTGTGATATTCCTTGTTGTGATATGCTTATTTGCTGTACGTTGTGTTATTATTGAATATTAACCTTATTATTGTGTGTGCGCGTTATGCGACGGTTCTTGTTTGCATGTAGCAATCATACACTTAGTACATGTCCAGGCATGTTACCCTGCCCTCGTGCTGCATTCATGTGCGGATAGCGCCCCCTTGTGGACATTTAGAGCATAAGCGCCCATGTTATATAGTGTAATATAGCATGGTTATATTTATATTGTGTGCAAAGCATGGATTAGCCTGGACATTATTTAATATAACTCAGATTGTATTCATCTGAAAGATGAAGAAATCATGGGGTAATTTTCATTTTTGGGTGAACTATCCCTTTAAGTTAACAACAACAACAACAAATTACGTTAAATAGGCATAAAACGGCACAAGGCCTTCACACATATTTTGATGGCCCTTCTCATATCCTTGGAGATACAGAAAAATATAATAGGATCAAAACATGCGTTTAAAGTGCTCAGCATTAAAGTTTTAATGCGCCAATATGGGTTTTCTTTTTTGATGAAGCCCACTATGTGTGATGCATTGTAGGGTGCAAAACTAATGGCAAACACAAGGAGAGTCCCCACAATCATCGATTCAGTGCATTCGCGAGTATTTCTGTGATATTCCTTGTTGTGAGATGCTTATATGTATATGCTGTACATTGTGTTATTATTGAATATTAGCCTTATTAATGTATGTGTGCGTTGTGCGACGGTTCTTGTTTGCACGTAGTGATTATCTGCTTAGTACATGTCCAGGCATGTTACCCTGCCCTCGTACTGCATTCATGTGCGGATAGCGCCCCCTTGTGGACATTTAGAGCATAAGCGCCCATGTTAAATAGTGTAATATAGCATGGTTATATTTATATTGGGTGCTGTTTAGTGTTTTAATGTTTATTGTGGAACATTTGTATATTCATATCATTAAGTTTATTTCTCTTGTTTAATCCATTTCAGAAAACCACATACATGTATACCCACAAAGTCTTCAGTAAATCAGACATCAACCAACTTCATTGAGTGCTTCTCTTCAATTAAGAAACCATCTCACTCAGTCCTGACAGACTGCCTACTGTGTTTCACCCCCCCATAATACAACCAACGAACCCCTTCATTTCATCATCATACCAGAAACCTCTCTAATATGTTGTACTGTTTTCTATTCTGAAGGAGTTTTGTCAAGTTAAGTGAATTTCAACAGATATCCTGGAAAAGAGAGCAGTGAACACTTTGTAGGGACCCTGTCAATCTAAACGCAGTCGTGATGTTCCCAGGTCAGGTGTAGGATCCTTTTCTGCATATACTTTAAAATCGTGTACAGTGTAATTGAAGTGTAGGATGATGTCATTTGCTTTGGGTAATTAATTAGAAGACATTTTGATGACACCATTCTTAAAGGGATAGTTCACCCAAAAATGAAAATTACCCCCTGATTTACTCACCCTCAAGCCATCCTAGGTGTATATGACATTCTTTGTTTTGCTCTCTCCTCTGCGCTCCCACGTTCGTCACCGCGTTTGCCTATGTGCTACATCATCCGCTGGATGCCATTCTCTCGCGTGAACGTGCGTAGAAGAGTTAGCGGAAGCTAGAGATTAAGATTTATAAAGTTCTAAATATGGATATTTTTCTTACACAAACGCATCGCGTCGCTTCAGAATTCAACAGATTTCCTGGAACAAGGTCACAAAGATCGGTGTGATGCTCACAGGTCAGTTATTTCAGTGATATTTTTCCTAGGATCCTTTTCTGCTCATATAGCCTTAGCCTACCATAACAAATGTGTACACCCTAAGTGTAGGTTACAATATGTCTTTGGACATTTCTTTTGTGCGATTGAATTAGAAGACATTTTGGTGATACCATTCTTAAGTTTACAACAACAAAAAATTGCTTTAAATAGTAAAACTATTTTTATTTTAAAACATAAAACTGCACAAGGCCTTTGCACATACTTTGATAGCCCTTCTCATATCCTTAGAGATACAGAAAAATATAATAGGATCAAAACATGCGTTTAAAGTGCTCAGCATTAAAGTTTTAATGCGCCAATATGGGTTTTCTTTTTTGATGAAGCCCACTATGTGTGATGCATTGTAGGGTGCAAAACTAATGGCAAACACAAGGAGAGTCCCCACAATCAGTCCAACCACCCGGAGTTTACGCTGTCGCTTGAAGAGAGGACACTTCATCAAAATACAAATTAAACTGATGTAACAGAAGCAGCAGATAAGGAGGGGTAGAAGGAAAAACACCACTACTATACTTAGACGCGCTGGAAGCAGTTCTCTCAGCTGTTTTGCTGTGAAGTTACTGTAACATCTCTGAGGTTCCTCCACCAAATGGCGCTTATTAGTGGTGTTGTCCGCATCATTAGAATCTAAATATGCTGCCTTGTAAGGAAATATTGAAGTTACTCCAACAAGCACCCAGATGATAACGCATATAAATGTTGTGTAAATTATTCTTTTTGGACTTTTATACTTAACTGGAAATGCTATACACACATAGCGCTCAGCGCTAATTGCTGTCAAGAACAGGCCACTGGAATAAAAAGGTAGAAAGAACATGAACATATTGATGTGGCACAAAATATAGGGCATGTTCCAAATCATGTTATCTGCAGCCTCTTTCATCTTTACAGGCAGGAAGGTGAGGAAGACAAGGTCAGAAACAGTGAGGTTCAACATGAATATGTCAATGGGGATAGGTTTACGGTGAATCTTGCGAATACATGAGCAGAACGCCAACACAGCATTAGGAAAACCAATCAGGAATGTGATGATATATATGGCGAGAAACACTGTTGAATCTTCTGACATTGTTGTCGGCCTGTGGTTAAGTTTTTTACTTTACTGTAGAAAACAACCCTGCAAGTCCTTAAAACAGCACCTGTAATATATAAACACACACGGTTTTGAGATGTATTCTCTTCGATTTTTTTAATATTATGAAAAAATGAGCAGAATAAAAGTTCTTAAACTAAAAACAATCGGTTTTATTTGTAACTTACCAAAATTTCTCTCTATTATTGGTAGTCTTGATCAAATCAATAGACTCTTTTGAAATGTGCTTCCGTTAGCACTCTAGACACCTGAATGGCATAGATACAGAAAAGCGCAGTATGTTTTGCATTCTGACATATTATGAAAACATGTTTAGAATTGAGCAACTGTACCCCCCCCCCAGTTTCTTTGCATCAATACCCTCAGGCCTACTAGCCTAGCTAATGCTAATTAAAAATACAAATCATCAGACCACACTTAAAGTCTGGAGGCTGAAATAAAGGGATAGTTATTATTATTCATTCTTGCATCCATTTTTTCACGTTTAAGCATTGTTGTGCAGTTTTCCCAGGTTTGATTGTCTTAATGATCAAGTCTGTCTAGCTCCAAAATGACATAAAAACACCTTGAAGTTACTTACATTTACATTTAGTAATTTAGCAGACGCTTTTATCCAAAGCGACTTAACATTAGTCTCTATTCCAAGTCTAAAAAAATAGGATTTTTTGCTTTTCTTTTTACTGTTGCACAGATGTGATTATTATGAGCTGTTGGTATGGCAAGAGCAGCATAAACATTCTTTATAATACCTTTTCTTTCTTTCTTTCGGCTAAACCTTAAATGGTTTTTGCATTAAATTACATAATATTGATTCCATCATCTATGTTCCATGATCAGACTGCTGAGAGCTTTTTGAAAAATAAAATGCTGTATTGGTAATACAAAACAATTGACTGTGCCAATCAAAAACATAAATGAAATAATTCACAATGTAAATTTTGATCTTCATACAATCAGGTTTAGGTATTTTTAATTAATAATTAACTATAAAATTCTGATGCATATATAATGAATGACAATTAATGAAAAATATTGTGAAAATGTGAGAAAATCATGCAAATCAGCAGGGCAACATTGTTGCACTGCTATCATCTTGTATTTTTTTTTGAATAAAAATACTTATATAACACTGTTATTTCAAGAACGCTTTTTATGTTTTAGTGCATACTTTGGAGATGTTTTGTAAAAATTACTTACCAGTTCTGTGTTTTTATAGTTTTTCACCACAATAAAGAAGTAAAACAGGTGTAATCCAGTCCAACATATTTTCAAAAACATCTAAATAGATTTTAAGACCTTTAAATGCTCACCAAAACTTTTCAGGTTATGGCTCAGGCTTCCATCGCACTTTTAACAGTAGATTTTAACATGCATGTTTATCAGTTCTCTGATCTTTCCTGGGTAGTGCCCTATTGCAAACCGCAAAATATCACATGGGTTTTGTCCACACTTACTCAATATGAAAATAAAGGACTATTGTTTTGTTTAGGCCCAAAATTAGTATAAGGGGTATTTTTTTTAAATATATTAAGGATAACAATTTCTGGACATCACTGTGGTCCTGTAGTGACTTTTGTGTGAACATGTTGGATTTAGCAGTGCACACATAAAAAAATAAACATTTATAATATTACATGCATCAATTCATAATTTCCATACACAGAAAACTGCACCAGGAAAATGAAAGAGTCCCAAAGAATGTAAGAGCAATTTAATTTATATTTACAATACAGTGCCCATGTTAAATATTTTACACATTCACATTATACAATTTTATAGTACAAGTATTACAATAATTACAGAATAACTGTTTCTCCGAATAGTCACAAATTATACACATAGGTCATCAACTCTGTTTTTCAGATTTGGATGAAATAAAAGAATATACATGGAGTCTCCATAACCGCTTCAGATTTACTATAGATATTCCCTCTTGTTCGAAAAGATCCCCTAGATGTTTTTTTTCTTTTGCTTTTTAGTCATTATAATAACTTACTATTGTTTATATTTTTAGTTAAAAACACTAAAACAATCATATAATACAGAGGCAAACATAAGTGAAAAGGAAAAGTTCTCAAACAGCTAATGTCTTTCAAAATATTATAAGAACATGCACTCTCATTCAATATCTTTAATAACCACCAAAACATCTCACAGCTCATATCCTTCTGCTAAATATGTCTGTTTGGGTGACTCATACTCACAAGCAAAAAAAAAAAATCCATGTGCAAAGACAATATCTAATTTATTTCTATAAGTGTCTTGCCGTACCCTAATCAGGTCACTTTTATGGACAAGTATGCTTTGTTTGCTTTTGCTTTGTCATCTTTAGATTCACCATGGCTTATTATTGACGCAGCTTGTGTCGTTGTTGTTTGAGGGTTCCTGGAAGCCCTGCTGCAGTGATTCTGATGCCAGGACTTGCATGACACGTTCCTTCGTTTGCGGCACAATTAAAATGTATCCCTTGAACACACTGTAAGACTCTTTGGATAAAAGTGTCTGCGAAATGTGTCTTATCTACTGTACTTCCTCTTCATTACCTCACCATGACTGGCCAGACCAAGTTGCTAAATGTCGCACCTATGTCATTGACTTATATGTGTTTCCAACACTTCCAACTTAAACACAAGTGAAGTCTGCATGGGAAACTTTTATGCTAAGGTGACCAGACGTGCCACTTCCCGGGGACACATTCTGCTCAGGATTTCTAAATTGCCTAAAATAACCAGGTTTTGGCTGTTTGCGCTGCACAGATCGATCGTTGTATGACATCTAAGTACCGTGAGAGCTGTAGAGAGCAGAGCACTGAGAGCAGACGGATGTCATACAACGATTGATCTGCGCAGCGCAAACAGCCAAAACCTGGTTATTTCTGTCAGGACCATTATCATCAAAGATGACTGACAATTAGCATACAGTTTGGATTGGCGGTATGGCTCTGTTCTGGGCAAGAACTCCCTGCGCATCCATGCAGCCTAGCATGGAAGAGAGCAGGGAGAGCAGCAATAACCCCCCAGGGTAAACAGAACAGAACTAACATAAATGTATTGCAGATATAGGGCTGGATTGGTAATCGGGCATACCGGGTTTTTTCCATTTCACATTTTCCCGGTGGGCCGACGCACTTAACGGGCCGACAAAATGTTTTGTTTGTTTTTTGCCAAGGACCATCACGCAGGGACAGCGAGCAGCCAGTGGCCCATTGGATTGTCTCCTGTATAGACAGCGTAAACCATCCAATCACAATGCGCTATAGACGGAGCGATGAAGTATTTTGCTCCACCTATATAAAGATCGCTTCACTCCAACTTCTTCCTCGTCGGCTTTTCCCATGTTTTCACAGCAGATTTATCAAGATCAGGCTTGCTCTGCGGTGAGTGATGCTGGCCAAAGAGCCAGGCAGGAGGAGGAGAGGAGAGTAGTTGAATCGGTAAAGTGCTTGATAGGGACTCGCAACGGAGGCAGACATCTATCAAGCAATTTACAGATTCAACTACTCTCCTCTCCTCCTCCTGCCTGGCTCTTTGGCCAGCATCACTCACCGCAG